CCCATAGGCTTTCTCTCCCTGTAGTGTCCACCTCCCATGGTCCTTCAAGGGCACAGGATCTCTGACAAAAGAAGTGGGAAGACCCTTTCAGCTCCTGGGAATTGGTTTGTCAGTCTTGAGTGCTGGAGGGATGGGGAAAGGACAGAGGTCCTGTGAGCCTTCCTTAAGGCTTGACAAAGGCCTGCTGAGCAGGGCGCACGGCAGGTATCGCCCCACTTAACCAATAAAGCCAGCACATGTGGTCTGTGGGAGATAAGATTCTAGGTCCTGAGGAAGGATACTGGGGGAAGGGAGACATTGTAGCAGCCTTGGAGGTGCACACTTTCACCACGTCTTGGGACATAGAAAGTTCATGCTACACACTGTCTTCATAGACAAGGCAGAGAATGGGGACCGTGAAGACCTGCAGTCACCACCTCAACATGTATGTGTCTCATTAGTGCGGGACACAAGAGCTACTCCCCACAAAAGGTCTTCCCATCTCCATCCACTTGGAGCAGGTGCAACCGTGAAGACCTGCAGTCACCACCTCAACATGTATGTGTCTCATTAGTGCGGGACACAAGAGCTACTCCCCACAAAAGGTCTTCCCATCTCCATCCACTTGGAGCAGGTGCAGAGGTCTACCTCACAGGTCGATTGGCCTGTAGACTGGCTTTAGCGTTTGGAGAGCTGAATGCCTACTTGGGAATGGCCCAGCTCACCTAGTTGGTTCTCCAGGTCTGCTGTGAGTTTCTGAAGGTCACGCTGTGTGGACTCCTGCATGGTTTGCACATTCTCCACAGCATTCTGCAGAGTTTGAGATGGTTGGGAGATGTGCTGGAGGTCCTTCTCTCGCATGGATTCCAGGGCCCTTGTGATCTTTGCCTCCACAGTCCTTCCTGTGAAGAAAGACTAGTGTCACGGGGACAACGACGGTGTCTCCCTGAGAGGAGGCCCTTTGCGTCGAGTGGCATGGTGGGGAAAGGGCAGAGGTCCTGTGAGCCTTCCTTAAGGCTTGACAAAGGCCTGCTGAGCAGGGCGCATGGTAGGGATTGCTCCACTCCCCGTCTCGAGCCAGCATCTGTGTGCTGTGGGACACAAGACTCTAGGTCCTGAGGAAGGGTAGTGGGGAAAGGGAGAGACAGTAGCAGGCCTTGGAGGTGGACACTTTCACCATGTATTGGGGGTCACAGAAAGGCCACGCTGCACACTGCCTTCAAAGACAAAAGAGAGAAGAGGGACCATGACCACCTGCAGTCACCACTTCAGCATGAAGTTGTCTCGGTGGTGAAGGACACAACAGCTACTCCCCACAAAAGGTCTGTCCATCTCCATTCTCTGGGTGGAGATGTGGAGGTGTAGCTCACAGGATGGTTTTCCTGTGGACCAGTTTTGCAGTTGGAGATAGGAAAGCCTTCTTGGAAATGGGGGAATGGTCCTGCTCACCTAGCTGGTTCTCCAGGTCTGCTGTGAGTTTCTGAAGGTCACGCTGTGTGGACTCCTGCATGGTTTGCACATTCTCCACAGCATTCTGCAGAGTTTGAGATGACTGGGAGATGTGCTGGAGGTCCTTCTCCCGCATGGATTCCAGGGCCCTTGTGATCTTTGCCTCCACAGTCCTTCCTGTGAAGAAAGACTAGTGTCATGGGGACAGTGATGGTGTCTCCCCTGAGGTGAGGCCCTTTGCCTCTAGTGGCATGAGGCCTTTCCTTTTAGAAAGAACCCAGAAGATGCTGTTCTTCTTTCAGTGCCAAGGAGACCCAAGCCCCACAGCAGAGTGGAGCGTGAGTGGTGCAGTTCCTGAGCTGCTTTGTTCAGGAAAGGGACACTGTTCAGATCCAGAGGGTGTTGATACGACAGAAGCCACAGTAGGACTCCTTGGACACTCCGGAGCCAGTAGAAGCGGAGCAGGGCTTGCCCAAGGCCTGAGCCCCAGATGCCTCCCTTCAGCTCACCCTCAGCTGCTTCCCCATTCTCATGCTCCTTCCCTCCCTGTAGTGTTCACCTCCCATGCTCCAAGAGCACAGGAGCTCTGAGAAGTGGGAAGACCCTTTCAGCTCCTGGGAATTGGTTTGTCAGTCTTGAGTGCTGGAGGGATGGGGAAAGAGCAGAGGTCCTGTGAGCCTTCCTTAAGGCTTGGCAAAGGCCTGCTGAGCAGGGCGCATGGTAGGGATTGCTCCACTCCCCGTCTCGAGCCAGCATCTGTGTGCTGTGGGACACAAGACTCTAGGTCCTGAGGAGGGGTAGTGGGGAAAGGGAGAGACAGTAGCAGGCCTTGGAGGTGGACACTTTCACCATGTATTGGGGTCACAGAAAGGCCACGCTACACACTGCCTTCAAAGACAAAAGAGAGAAGAGGGACCATGACCACCTGCAGTCGCCACTTCAGCATGAAGTTGTCTCGGTGGTGCAGGACACAACAGCTACTCCCCACAAAAGGTCTGTCCATCTCCATTCTCTGGGAGGAGATGTGGAGGTGTAGCTCACAGGATGGTTTTCCTGTGGACCAGTTTTGCAGTTGGAGATAGGAAAGCCTTCTTGGAAATGGGGGAATGGTCCTGCTCACCTAGCTGGTTCTCCAGGTCTGCTGTGAGTTTCTGAAGGTCACGCTGTGTGGACTCCTGCATGGTTTGCACATTCTCCACAGCATTCTGCAGAGTTTGAGATGGTTGGGAGATGTGCTGGAGGTCCTTCTCTCGCATGGATTCCAGGGCCCTTGTGATCTTTGCCTCCACAGTCCTTCCTGTGAAGAAAGACCAGTGTCATGGGGACAGTGATGGTGTCTCCCCTGAGGTGAGGCCCTTTGCCTCTACTGGCACGTGGCCTTTCCTCTTAGAAAGAACCCAGAAGATGCTGTTGTTCTTTCAGTGGCAAGGAGGCCCAAGCCCCACAGCAGAGTGGAGTGTGAGCGATGTGGTTCCTGAGCTGTTTTGTCTAGGAAAGGGACATTGTTCACATCCAGAGGGGTTTGACAGGACAGAAGCCACAGTAGGACTCGTTGGGCACTCTGGAACCAGTGGAAGCAGAGCAGGGCTTGCCCAAGGCCTGAGCCCCAGCTGCCTCCCTTCAGCTCTCCCTCAGCGGCTTCCCCATTCTCATGCTCCTTCCCTCCCTGTAGTGTTCACCTCCCATGGTCCAAGAGCACAGGATCTCTGACAAAAGAAGTGGGAAGACCCTTTCACCTCCTGGGAATTGATTTGTCCGTCTTGAGTGCTGGAGGGATGGGGAAAGGGCAGAGGTCCTGTGAGCCTTCCTTAAGGCTTGACAAAG